CAACTTGCTCAATTTTGATCCTATGATCATGTTCTTGGACATTTTGGAAAGCTCTTGAAGTCCTCTAACCAATTCCTTTCGTCCCATGTCATTTGGATTTACCAATCTCAATTTATGGCCTTTGACTCAAAAGGTACTTTTGTTGACTTTTGAATTTGACCTATAATGTAGAAATTGCTAACTTTTTGTGAGATCATTTCTTGAACTTGGAGTGTGAAAATGGATTGTAGGGAATTACATCCCCTTCAAAATGAGCATTGGATGGGATTTTTCTGACAAACCATGAAAAAGTTATGCCCTGGTCAAGCTACAGTTGACTTTTCTACTGTCCAAAAATAGTAACTTTTTGCATCTTGATGATTTTTGAGCTATCCTTGTGGAATCATGATCAATACTTGATCAAATGATGATTGTGGACTCAAAATAAGATGTTGACCAAAAATTCTAACTTTTGACTGCAAAATGACCATTTTACCCTTGCAGTTGACTGTAGGTCAAATGAGGCTTTTGATTGTGCAAATTGGCACTGTGAATCTTGAGACTTGGCATGTAGGTGCTTGAGAATGTATATAGGCCTATGAGACTTGATTGAACCATTGAAAACCCCAAATTCCTTGAAAGAACCAAAACCCTAATTTCAGCTGGCTTAGGAGGTGGTTTGACTGTACAACCCTTGAGCCAATTTGAGGAATTTGAAGATTATTCTTGTCAAATCTTGAGGAATATGGGAGGGAAAATTTTGGGGTACAACAGTGGTCATTACATAAAAGCCAATAAATGGTCTTCAAAACACAAACGTAAATATCAGATTAAATATCTTCACAACATGGTGATAGTAATTAAATGAAACATAAATATCTTCAAATGGATCTTCAAATACTCTTTATTGAGTTATCCCCTTGCTAATATGTTCCCAGCTTTTTGATACTCTACCACCACCTTTGACACCTTTTATGATTTCCTCTTTAGCGATCAACAATGGATCATCAGGCTTTTTAACAGGGTCAGTTATGTTCCTTGTTTTCAGGGTCCTCAGCCTATCCCTTTTTCTGTTTGCACCTGTCACATCAGAATTATTCTTCACTCTTTTCTTTGGTATCAATATCTTGACCTAGCGTAAGAATTAAGAGACATAAGTAAGACCAACAAATAATGAATAAAGAAGAAAATATTTATATACACTCACAGGATCACTTAAACTTGGCTATGTGAAGAAATTCATGTTGGTTTGAAAGCATTGCATTTACAGACTTTTGGTTTTTTACCAAATAAAATCCTGACACCATTTTACTTTGATGCACTTGTCTTATTAAGTGATGTAACAATGCTTAAAGTTTGAATGTCCAAAACATATTCATAACTTAGCAATGCTGCCAAAGTCTTAGCATCCAATTCAAAATACTTGTCCAAATGTATAGCTTTAGTTGGTTCCTTATTGATTGTTGGTTCCTCATCGACAGTTGGTTCCTCATTAATTATTGGTTCCTCGTTGATTATTGGTTCCTCATTGACAGTTGGTTCCTAATTGATTGTAGGTTCCTCATTGATTGTTGGTTTCTCATTGACACTTGGTCCCTCATTTATTGTTAGTCCATCATTGAAAGTTGGTCCATCTTTGACACATGGTCCATTATTGACACGTGGTCCATCATTGAAAGTTGATTCCACCTTTTTTTCTTTGTATGAATATTTTTAGCCTTTGTTGTAGTTTGAGTAATGATACTTTTGATGTACCCATTAGGCCTCACCTGATAGAAATAAAGACATTATTAGGGATACAGTTAGAACATTACCCTTTTTTTGGTGCCATTTGGACTTTGGAAGTCTGAATGGCTTGTGAAGGAAGCTCTTCTGTTGCATTTTCAAATGGAAAAATCACAATTTTCTTATTTTATTTCAAGCCCTTTTATTGTGGCCTAATTCAAAACAGGTTTTACACTTAAGGCTCGTATTTGTCTTTTGCCATTTTATTTGGTTTACCTCATCTGGTTCTTTCCTACGTAGTTTCTTTTGTCGGCCTAGATCGAAATAAACATGGGAGGAAATATTACAAGATAAAATGTTTTAGGCCATTTGTTTTGGCCATTTAAGGGGGGTGATCACTTGATTATAATATTTTTCATATGTGCTCTTGTGATAGCATTTATGCACATACTTAATGGAGTTGTCTACTTTCCTATGGATTGTAGACACACCATGTATGCATGGTATGCCCACCAATTCCCAATAATTGCATGATCATGTATGTTTTTCCAAGTCAACTACAAAACTATCAGTAAATAGGAAATGTGTAAATTGAAAAGTTAGCCTACCTACATAAGTCGTTGTCCAACTAGCACTTTTTTAAATTTACCTATCTAATTTCCTTTGTGGTTTGGTCATTATCTCTCCCTTATACCCATTTACCATTTCTCTAAGGGTGGAAAACTTTACCATCAAATAATTCCTTATTCACTCAAACATGGTTATTATTGGTTTGTCCCTCTATAACAAAATTATTGCATTAAAATATTCATTGATATTGTTCATTAATGCACCACACTTAGAGAAAAAGGAAAGGCGTGCTTACGCCATTTTGTTTTGGAAATAGCCTATAACTATTCATATACTTCCAAACTGACCCCCTTGATTTGAAGCATCTTAGATTGATGATGCTCAAAATAAGTTTCCTTGGTTGCAACATTCATAAGATCCCTAAACAATATTCCTCCTCCAAACTTATTCTTGAAGTTGGCATAAAAATGCCTTACACAAAATTTATGCTTAAACCCTAGGTACTCCTCTTCAAACACTTGAATGAGACCCTTTACAACAAAAAACAAGTGCATTTAGCATAAAAAATTGCAACAATATACATATATGAAAAATAGTAAATGTGAGTTAAACTTACCTTTTGCTGGTCAGATCTGAAACACCATGTGTTTTCTCCAATGTCTTCAAGAAGCAACTTAATGAACCAACTCCATGAATCTCTTGTTTCATTCTCAACAAATCCAAAAACAATAGGAAAATACTAATCATTTGGATCTCTCCCAACAGCAATCAGTAATATACCACCATACTTGTGTTTGAGATGACATCCATCTAAGCCAATAAATGGTCTGCATGCTTGTAATAACAAGATTTGGTTCTGCATATGGCCTTAAGTTTTTATGATAACATTATATGGTATCTTAGATAACAATTTATTACTCTAACAATTTTTGTCTAGTGTGTAGCTTTTGCTAAATAGGTTCTGACTCTGAAGATAAGGCATGTGATAATATCAGGTTCTAAACTCAACACACTCTGACTCTGGAAGAAACCAATTGTCTTTATAATACTCTGTTAAGTCCCCCAATTCTTCTACAATAATGGTTCTGATGAACGTTGGTGATAGAGCTTCTAACCTTGAATCATTTGGAAGAGCTTCTGAAGACTTCTCAAGCTCTGATTCTGTTTGTCCAAGTTCTGAAGATTCTGAAGACAAGGTTCTGGAAGAACAAGTTCTAAAGATTCTGAAGACAAAGTTATGAAGACCAAGTGCTGAAGATTCTGAATTCAAGGTTCTGAAAGAACAAGTTCTGAAGACTCAAAAGACTTAGGTTCTTAAGTCTCTAGTTTTGGTCCTTCTAATAATGCTTCATCATCAACTATCATAATCCTCTGGTGATTAGAAGATAAGATCAAATTTGGTTTACGTGAGAGAATAGTACAAGGTATAAATGTTCCCACTACCCTGATATGGTGGTGCAAGGACAGTACTATGGTACTATGGTGTTTACCACTCTTTGTCTCTCTCTCTCTCTCTCTCTCTGATCGTTATGGATAAAACAACTAGAATTAAGTATTCATATTCTACCCTATAACATATTTCTTTTTGGATATAAAACGAAGACTTGGAAGATTCAATAATTGTTGAACCGACTCACTGCAAAAATTATGCTGAAACGCTGCTCAACTGTATTTCAAATATTTTTTTGTAAAGTTTTGTAAACACAACAAAATTTTGTTCGTTAACTTGAAAGACAGTAGATTTGGTTCATTAACTTCCTATTAACATTGTTGTGTGATTTTATTGTATTCAACTTTGTGTAATCTGCTTTTAAGAAGCAACTCTATATACACACTCTTTGTATTTCAACTCTTAAGTTGATAGTTCCTTGAGAGACTAAGGCTTTAGTCAGGATTCTCAGAAAGACATTGAAAGGTAGTCTTTGTGGTTTGCAACATTGATAGTTGATCTTTGTTGTGTCGGTAATCAGTTTGATTATAGTGGATTAAGTTCTTTTTGAGAAGGAAAAATCACTTTATTGGGTGGACTGGATTAACTTTGTTAACACTGAACCAGGATAAAAATATATGTGTCATTCATTTTTGTGCTTGTGCTCTTTGTTTGGGAAGAATTTGTTTTAAAATTTAGAAACCCAATTCAAACCCCCCATTTCTTGTGTTTCTCACACCTTCAATGCTTTTGTCAAAGCCTTCTTAGTCCCATCAAAACATATGTAACACCTTTCAAATATTGGTTGTAACCCTAGAGCTGGATATGCAATGTTGACCTTAAAAGTGTTTCCTGCTGAAGCCCTCTTCAACTCAGCGCCATAAGACCATAAGAAGCTAAATTGTTTTCTAGATTCTCATTCTATAACTTGTCTAACAATATGCCTTGCCTTGAAAGCTCAACGTCCTAGGATTTTAGTTGCATACCTAAGTCTAACATCTGCTACCACCTCATTTAACTTCATAATTTTTTTATTCTTTAACCCACCAGCAATAACCTTTGCAACCCACTCAGCTTTGGCATTTTTATTGAAAAACTATATTCCACACTTGTGCTTATAAAACAATTTTTTTCATCTTAAACATTGTTGATGTTAAAACTCTACTTCACAAGACGTTATAGTTACATAATTTTTTGTCCGTGCATACCACCCTACATCTATTATGATCATGTTTTTAAAACCTCACATTCGTTCCATTCAGAACATTATGATCTAGTATAACATTCTTAAATTGTTTCAATGAAGAAAACTCCATTCCAACCCCTTGAAAGTAAAATCCTTAATAAGAGCATATTCTTCATTAAACCTAATTACACTAGGCATTTCATCATAGTTGTCATCATCTACCCCATTATCAATTTCATTACTCATGTATTCCTCTTCAATGACATGTTCCTTACCCATCTCTTGTATGATAAATATGTTCTTTGGTGGTACATAAGGGGTCTCACTATCATCAACATTTTTAGTTCTAGGTTCACCATCATCAATGTAATATGGTGGGAGAACTGACTAGGGTGTTTTGCGTTTGATCGTAATTATTGCGGATAGCAAGAGTCGCCACCGACTTTTCTTTTATCCAAAAGGAAAGGTTGAAAATAACAGGAAATACCTTTCGAGATTATTTCTTGAGTTCGCGGGGTAGTTTATGGAAAGGGAAGGTGTTAGCACCCTTTTCATCTATGGTTATCTACGGGCTCTAAGTTGCTTGCTAGATCACTTGATTTTGTTTGAAAATGTGCTTGTGGTGTGTTTTTTTTAAAGTATTTGGAAAATGTATTTGTAATGGTTCTCGTTTCTATAAGAACGCGTACAACGTGTTTGTCTTTTAAAAATGTTTCAAATGAAAGTGTGGGTGTATAAAATGTTTCTGTTGTGAGCAAGCGAGCAACTAGGAGCAACCTACCTACACAAAAGGTCTTAAATGTTCTTTTCCTCCTCCTTTAGATGTTGCTATCTTACCATTGATTTGGTAAGAAGCCCTATCTTTGGATGTGAAGGGACGGGCGTAGGACGTTTGTATAGTCATAGAAGGCATCCTATGGGACGTTTTAGCAATTTCGTTTATGGACTAGATCGTTTACCGAAGGCAACATTGAGGGTCATCGAGGGAATACGATCTTTTATCGAGGGTCTTTGCTAAAACGCCCATATTCGAGGGACACGAATATTTTTCCGAGGCAACAAGTGGAATTATCCTAAGGGTGCATGTGTGTGAGTAGTGTGTTTGATTGCATGCATTTTGTCTTTTGAATTTTTGGTTATCTACTTGTTGTTTTTTTATCTTGCCATACATCCTAGTTACTAGCATTTATACAAAAATCATAAAATGCGAGAAGATAAAAGCCTACACTATTACAACCATATTGAATATAATGAAAATATAAAAGCAAAAATAAAATAAAAATAAGAAAAATAGGTCTTTCGATTCAGGTAGAAAGGCCCTTCGATTCTGTATTTCCTGGCTTTCCTTCGATTTGGGTTCTGAATTCAATGGAGTCATGCCCTTTGATTTTCCTCTTTGTCTCCTTCGACTAGGGGTTGGAATCCGGATAGTCACACCTTTCGTCTGGGCCTGGAAGTTAGCATAGTTCTTCCTTTCGCTTGAGGCTTGGAGATAGCAAGGTTCTGGCCTTCGTTTGAGGCCTAGAAGCAAAAAAAATCATGCTTTGCCACAGGCTCCTTGCTAACTCTTTGTAAGCATATTGGGCCCTCAGATTGTGATTCGAAAGGCTTGTGCAGCTCTTGAAGTCCTTAAATCAAAGGGAGATGCAAGTGCTTTCTTTGACGGAGAATGGGAGTTCGTTGGGACCTTCCTGAGGCTAGTCCAGTTGTTACTTTGTGAAAGTAGTGACTGGATCGAAATAGGTTATGTGAGTGGATCGAAAGCTCTTCTATAACAAGTGATGGGATAACTCAAGGGCCTAATGTATAATAGTTGGGGGAGTGGGTTGAAGGGTAGTTTGATGGTCACTTGGAGGGTGAATCGAAGGTTTTTTCTTAGTGTATATAAGTGTTTAAAAAATAATGTTTGAAAGTGTTTGAGAATTTATTTTTTGAATTTTCACAAGTGTTTTCTTGCAATCCTTCAAGCGCCCTTAATATGTGTGGTGATGTCTCCTATTTATAGATGGCCTGGGCTGATGTTTTAGGAGGGAAAACGAAAGGTTCAAACAAAAAACGTATGCTGTATTTGTAGGTTTCGAGGGACAGTGTTTTATTTCCATTTTGGTGCAAGGAATAAGGCAGCATTGTAGGACTGATGTGCAGCAGTTTTGGAGTTTTATGGCTAGTGTATCAGGCCTGAGCCTGGAAGCGCATGGGACTTGGTCAACAAATGCCTTTGGCATCTCAACCTTTTGTCTTGACCCCCTAACCTTGCCTTTCGACCAGACTCTTCGGCAGCCAAATCTTTTTTCAAATCGAAGTGTCATTCGAATGGCTCACATGGATATCCTTTGAAGGGGCCAAATTAATTCCTTTCGACCAGGCCTTTCATGGGTTCCTTCGAATGGTCCAAATGCATGCCCTTGAGATGGGTCAGTAACACATTTCATTCGATTGGGACATCCAGACATGCCTGGAAAACCCTTCGAATGCACCACCATGGTACTTCCTTCGCATGAAGCAATGACATAGTGCATAATTTATGTGTTTGAAGCGGGCCATTTCCACAGGAGATCCTCCCCACTCAAATTTTCTTGCAAAGGGGCCTTATGGCCAAACGAAAGAGTGTGTGCAGGAGGTTCCTACTTTGTGACCTTATTTATATATGTTCAAACAAAAGCTTCTAAAAGGGGAGCCACATGCGCAAATGAAAGGCATGACTAAAGACTTATGCTGAATGATTCACACCCCCAAACGAAGGATACATGCAAGGGATGAAATGCTCAATCAAAGCTTGCAATACTGGGAAAGCCTTTGCCCCAAAAGAAGGAGGCCTGAAGGGGGTAAGATGTGTAATCGAAAGAGGGAAGAAGGGAGGCTTTGGCCTTCTGAATCGAAGGACATCATCAGGATGCTTTTTGCCTTGTGAATTAAAGCTATTTGATGGGAAGTGTTGCCCTGTCGAAGCTTGTAAAAAATTTCTTCAAAGGGGACTTTGGCCTTGTGCATGTTAAAATGGTAGGAAATTCTGCCTTGTAAGTCTTGGCTAACATGCAGGGAATATGCTATGTGGCCAAACAAAAAATTTGCACAAACATTCAACCGAAGTCTAGCGCTAAAACGAAACAAGAAATAATCTTAGCCAAATGAGTCCAATGCCTCAATCGAAGCATGAAATGAATTTCCCCCAAAGGAATCCATCTCCCAAACAAAATATGCAATCAAGGCCAAAGTATCCAATCGAAGGACACAAAATCAAAAGGAACTTGCTTTTCCTTTAATTTTGTCAAAAAGAGCATTTTCATCTGTTTGGTTTTTTTTTTGGCAATTTCTTCTTTAATTTTGATGCTGAAAAGTCCAAATATATTTATGTAAGCTTGAATTTTGGGAGCCCCTTTGAGAAATGTCTTGAGGGATGAGAGGGAAAATTTTGGGGTACAACAAGCACCTTCATCAAATCCTTGCATCCTCTCCTCCTCGCTATCATCTAAATGTACACACTTCAACTATTATTCATCACTAGATTCACTTAAATTGTCAAACTCTTCATCACATGTCTTCCCATTTCCTTTCACTCTAACCCTATCCATAAAAGTGATCTCTCTTGTAATTGGTTTTAGCTTAGTATAAATGTAAACTTCACAATCATTTCCAAAAGAATAAATAGCTAACTCAGAAGCATCTCTGTCATCCCTAAATGGTTTTAAATCTTTTTCAAAAGAACCACCATCATGCTTCCACCACATTTTAACACCTCTTAAATCAAACTTGGGATCAACCCCTATAACTAAATCACATGTTTTAAAATAAGACCAATAATCTGAATCTTTACCTCTATATGCATAAACATCCCCACCCTTATATCTTAAGTTAGGATCTTTTACAACAGAGCCCTTTGTGTAGAACACAACCTTAAATTTACCCATTTCATGTACAGTTAATTTTCTTAGGGTTATATTTTATCAAATTAGGTCAAATACAATATGCAGCAGGAAACACTATCTAGATACATATACAATTTAGAGAAAATCATACATTATACAGTAATAATACGAGTAAAATTATTATCAAAACATTACACAATAAACCAAATTGAAATACCTCGGACCTCAAGCTGCGAATAATTGGGACCACAAGAACACTTTCACTTGAAAGGAAGGACAAGACCACGACAATGACAAGATTTTAAACTAGGACCACTAGAACACATTCAACTTGGAAGGAAGGAATGGACCACATAACTTGAAGAAGAAGGAGACTTTTTAGGGCTTTTGTGAGAAATATTATGGAATTGCTTAAGACTTTTGGATTCACGAAAGTTAATTATTTATCAAACCTTGTTAGAATAATATCCATGTTGGAGAATAAGTTTAAAAAAATCCACCTTGGTTAATTAAACATGTTCCACGTAAGACTCTGTTAGTGGAAACTAACGGTTGGGACCTATTATATGGACAACAAAGTTTACGGGGAAGGTAATTTGAAGGAAACTTTTATAGGGACTAAAAAACAATGTTGGCATATTTATATGGACTAAAAACAGATTTAACCCATATGTGAGTGTATGTGTGTATGCGTCTGTGTGTGTATCTCTCTCTCTCTCTCTCTCTCTATATATATATATATATATATATATATATATATATATATATATATATATATATATATATATATATATATATATATATATATATATATATATATATATATATATATATATATATATATATATATATATACATATATAGTATTTTGGTAATTGTGGAGATTAATGTTTTTAGATAGTTGTGGAGTTCTCTCACATATGTTTTTATATACTCGTCAATTAAAAGTCTCCTTCAAAACAAATGGTAAAGAGTTCATGTTGTTGTTATTGTTAATGAGTGAGGAACTTTTAGTGAGGAGAAAAAGAGAGAGAGAGAGAGAGAGAATAAGAAAATAAGGATTGCTATTTATTGAATTATGTAAACTGAATTACAAACTACATTTGTATATATACAACTATGACATCTACACTAAATAACTAACAAACCCTAATTAATTAGGGCTTGGGATTGGACTAATTAACTTGAATTATATCACAACATACCTCCTATAATCCAAGTTGTTGAACATTCATTAATCATAGTCGATCTAAAATATTACTAATTTCTTTCTCAAGTTCAGGAATCTGCCGGCCTTCAACCTTTGGTGAAAATGTCGGCCAACTGTGCTTCAATTGAGAAATTCCTTACTTCAAGTTCACCTTGATTTACCTTTTCCCTCAAGAAGTGAAATCTATATTCAATGTGCTTACTCATTCCATGCAGAACTTGATTCTTTAAAAGATTAATGGCTGACTTGTTGTCGATCTGCAACACTAGAGGTTTCTTCACTTCGACCTCAACTCTTCTAGCACATACCTGATCCAAATTTCTTGGTGCGTATCATAGGATCCTGGTATATATTCAGCCTCACACAATGGCAATTCCACCACAAGTTGCTTTCTCGAGCACCATGAGATTGGGACACCAAAGACTTGAAAGAAATAACCAGTTGTGCTTCTTCGATCTTCCTTATCTTCATACCAATCATCATCTGAATAGAAATTAATCACAGCTTCTTTGCTTTCATAGTATCTTTGAAATATAATTTTGTAGTTTATCGATCCTTTTAAGTATCTCAAGATTCTTCTTACAGCCTTCATCTATGACACCATTGGTTCACTCAAGTATCTCCTTATTAATCCGACTGCGAAACCTATATTTGGTCGACTGTTGCACACATATCTCAGAGATCCTAATATTTGTTTGAACAAAGTAGCATCAACCTTGTTCTTCTCTCCTTGTTTATCTAGTTTCAAGTTTTGTTGACAGGTGAGGATGCAGGGTTCGACTCATCTATTCTGAATCTCTTGAGTATCTCTTTGACATACTTCCTTTGATGTAGAACCATACCTTGCTTCGTCATTTGAAATTCCATTCCTAGGAAATAATACTAGTTTCCTAGATCTGGCATTTCAAATTCCATCATTATCAACTCCTTGAACTTTCAAAAGTTCTCTAAGCTATTTCCAGTTACTAGCATGTGAAACAACTGGCCGAACATTGATTGATAATATATCAATGAAGTCGCCATTGAATGTTTTTTATCCCATGGGAAGGGAAAAGTGAACATTGAGAAAACCAGAAGGGGGTGAGATCACGGCCTTTCAACCAAGAGATAGGGTAAGGAAGTTTGTTACGCAAGGGGAAGCTGTTACTACCCCTAATGCCCATGGTACTCCATGGTATCCACTCATGTTTGCTGCTTTTTAGGGTGTGTTTAAGCTATGTCTATGATTAAAAGAGAAAATCAAAAAGGAATGCATGATCAAAGAAAAGCGGAGAAAATAAAGAAGTATTTACAATTTATGCTCGGTTAGGCTCCACAACCTCTTACCTACGTATCCCTTTTAAGGAATCAGAGTGTCGTACTTCAGATCACATGTTTTGGTTTGTTTTGTGATTTTTAATGGACAATATTAAGTTCTCATTCTACCTACAGCTCGACCTTTGGACACTTACGCATCTGGAGTGGGAAGGAAATAACATGCTCAAATAAATGCCCGGAAGCAGATGATGATATATTCGCGACTCTAGCAAGTAGACATGGTGCAACCTGACCTTTGGGCAATTATGCATCGTATTGCATAGAGGGGGAAAATAACATATCCATTTTGAAGTTTGAAAAGCCAAGAGGCGAGAAAAGAGTTTGAATTTGTTGGTATTTTTTACCTTGAAAAAGAGTTTTTGAATTATTAACGTGTTTTAGAATTTCCCAAGAAAAAGGAGTTTTAGTTTTAATGCACATGTGAAAGGGGTAGAAAAAAAGTCTAAGGGAGACTAGCCTAGTTTCTAATCCTAATGTTATCATACAATAATGGTCCTATAATTCGGATTGACAAAGAAGGGAAACTTCTATCTAATATTGTCTACCTAATAAGCAGAATATTCAGGAGAATATCATTCATCCTATGTGGTGCATATTTAAAGGTCTAGAAAATTCAATCAGAAATCAAGGAGAATGAAGACTTTCTAAATAAGGAAATTATTTAGGAAAGAAAAGATTGAAGACCTTTCTTGGGGCAGAAGTTTCTGCAGTTTGTTACAGCTGATTTGCTGTGATTGAAAGCCCAAAACCAATTGGGTAACAAATTATAAATAGAAGGGTTTGTAAACTAGAAAATGCAGGGCTTAAGATGTAGAATTCTAAGGGGTTTTTCAAGGTAAACCTCCCGGGTTGTGGGAAGGTTACCATGTTCATCTCGAAGCCTGTAGGTAAGAGATGTATTGTTCCTGGGCAAGGAAGCTTTAAAGCAAATCCAGGATGCGTTAGGAGCAAAGCTAACAAACAATGGAGTTTGGCTTATAGACTTAGCTAGGTAGTCATGGAATTATTTCTTCTAAACTGTTTATCTATATGATCAGAATCTTGGTGACAGGCCGTCTATGCAGTGACTGAGATGTTGAATGTTAGACATCATTGTGATTATTGGAAGTGGGATGTGGATATTCCATATCTTGGGAGGACCTAGGTAGAAGGGTCATTGGTTAGTGATTAAGTGCGTAGATCGTCAATGGGTGTGTTGGTTATAGGGTCTGCAAATTGATACTACTGATAATGGACTTCATTCCTGTCTTGGTAGCCCCTAAAGTAGGTGTTATTGTACATTGAACTGGGTAACCAATTATGGTGTGGTCTTTATCTTTTTAGTACTATTTTATCTTACCTGTATGTTTATGTCAGATCAGATGTATCGACATCCTTGTAGGACATCTGAGTCTGCAGTGCCAGAATTTCAATTGGTATCAGAGCATGCATCCTGTTGTGCTCTGGGTGAGATCCTGGGAAGGTACTTTCTGGTCATGGGCAAGGAATAAAGTATTTATTGAAAAGAGGTATGAACTTGGACAATTCATACTATTGTATGGATGATCTCTTGGCAAGGATCATTGATTATATGTGACATGTATTGTTCCTGATTGTTTCCTTCAGACCTGCAGCTTAGTGGGATGTTGTTGTATGTAGGGTTTATTTTTTCAATCCTAGGTTTCCATGCTTATACTTGGATAGTGGTGTAAGAATTGTGTTTGAATATTGTTGAGGAGTTAGTTATATTCCGCTGAATGGTCTCTGATATAACCCTGAAAGTATGGGAAGAATACTAGGTTTGTTATCCTCAACAGAATATATGCTGACATTTTCAACCGTATTAAAAGTGTCAAAGATACTTGAGATTTTCCTCAAATCCACTCATAAAGATATTTATTAATAAGGTTAATGAGAATAAATTGATCAATGATGCTCATATACATCTTCATATTGACCTTGAAGACTGTCAAGGATGGTGTGTTCCAAGAAGAAGGAACTGATGTTTTATGGGATGTTATAACATTATTTCAGCAGGTATGTTGAAGAACATATGCTTTGGGTGCTAAACAAAAATGTTATGAATACTTTTTGGAACCTACTCCTGATCTGAAAGAGGAGGCATATGGTTTGTGTAGGATGATCAGGACACAATAAACAATTTATCTACTCCATGTGTCAGTTCATTTCTGGCCAAGTCTTATGGGAGTATAGAGGTTGAGCTCCATGATCTTGAGAAGAATCCATAAAGGAATATCCACCTGATCCTTTATGTATAGGAGATGAGCTCGTATCTGGAAGATCCTTCTGATCAAAGGTACCAGATTTATGGAATCTTATAGAATAGATTATGTTTGAAGAGGAGTTTTGTGATCTAACCACATTGTATGATGCTCCTGACTATTGCTTTAATTTACCTTAAGAAAGATAATTGGTGATTCTCTTTGTGTACCCTCAAAAGTTGTTGGAAAAGATCCCCTTGTCAAGGGTTGAGATAATATCAGACAGAATGTCATGATATCTTTGAAGATGTTAA